CCTGTAACCGTTTCACCTGGTTCAGGCTGAGTGAGTTTCTGTATATGTGCATAGAGATTTCGTGCTGGCACCTCGGTATTACCACTCTGCACCGCTTCTAGCAATGCATCATGGATAAAGATATACTGATCCTCCGTTTGCACCATGTAGTTCCTTTGAGCTCTCAGACAAGTCACATGACCATAAATGTCAACAGTCTTTTCATGCTTGATACGCTCCAGCATAGAGTCAATCACGATGAAGGCTCCAGTTCGACCAACGCCCGCACTGCAAGTATATACAATCATTTAAAAAAAAACAGTGAAGCATTTTCATTTTGGTTCCTGGCACTCAATTTCCATACATCGAGAAAATTCATCAATAATTTAGACATGTTTAACTTTTGAGGTAGAAATAATGTATTTGCACTGGTGGTATGTGTCAATCAAAAATTGCATTGGTTGTACAAATATTATTTATTTTGGTAATAGAAACACCTCTGTAATTTACATAGGTGCATGCACTGCTAATAAAACAAGCAGCCTATTGGCTGAGATAGCTCCGCTGTTAGCAATGCACATTTCAATTAAAGAACTGAAGACATCATTAGAAAATGAACAACATGTATAGTATCAAAGCAATCGGACTTACAGTTTTTAACAAGAAGTCGAAAATATCACTTTCTACCAAAAATGACAAAAATATTCACCAAAATTAGAGAATTTAAGATATCATCACGAAATGAACAAATCTGAGAAAGGTCTACATGTAGTATCTATATATGTAATATCAAAGCAATTGAACTTTTGGTTTTTAACAAGAAGTCGAAAATATCACTTTTTAACCAAAAATTACAAAAATATTCACCAAAATTAGAAAATTAAAGATATCATCACGAAATGAACAAACCTGAGAGAGGTCCACATGTAGTTACAAATATATATAATATCAAAGCAATTGGACTTGCGGTTTTTAACAAGAAGTTGAAAATATCACTTTTTACCAAAAATGTCAAAAATATTCACCAAAATCAGAGAATTGAAGATATCATCATGAAATGAACAAATCTGAGAGAGGTCTACCCAAGGTACATATACACGAAGTATCAAAGCATTCAGGCTTGTAGTTTTCAAGAAGAAGTCGAAAAAGTAAAACATTGATACAGACGACGACGACACCGGACGACGACGGACAATCACTCATATGATAAGCTCCACTCGACAAAGTCGACAGCGGAGCTAATAAATACAGTAGATATGAAAATAAGTATACCTGCAGTGTGTTATAATAGGTCCAGCATCAGGAGGATTGCATGCTTTCACACGTCTCAGGAATGCAAGAACAGGGGTTGGATGTTCTGGAACGCCGTGGTCAGGCCAAGCGGTAAACTGGAACTGACGCACTTCACGCTTCTCCCCAGCACGGTTCTGAAAACAATTATAACATGAGTTATAAATTCTAAAACATAATAGCTTTATTAGCTTTATTTTCCCCACTACAAATCAATACTACATCTATGTTGACTGGCCTTATTCAAATTTAGCAAGACAAGTTTAACACATGGTTCAAAGAATAAAACTTACCCTCAGATTTGCTATGACAAAGTTTCTAACTGTGTATGTTGCCAACTCAGTTGTATCATTCAATGTCACTTGAATGTATCCATACGTCTCAGTCCCACGTGATGGCCAGTACTGATCGCATTTAACACGGTTTCTTTCCTCCAATTTGGTCATCATGACAATTGTTGAGCTTCTCTGTTCCCACATCATGCGCCAGAAGTCAGATATAGTTTCCGGCAACGGCCCCTGGGTCGCTATGTATGCGTTCTGTTTGCGATAACCATCACAATAATTAGCGTTGGTGTAATCACTGCCCGACTGTCCATCAACGGGTTGTAAAACCACACGAGAGTGATCATAGGCAATAACATTTGCATAACGGTTCTTTGTTTTGTTATAGTCCAGATTAGAGTGGTCCCAGGTGAACTGTTGACCTGGCTCGATAGACTGCAAAGTAAATTGAAAGAAATGTGTCAGTGACATTGGACATTATGTTCATAGAACCAACTTTATCATAAAGTTGAGTTTGGTTGAAAAGTAAGAGCAGAAGATGAAATCTATTCTTTAAGAAAGTGTACTTACCTCATACTCTTGGGAAAATTTGAGATTATCGTTTGCTTTCAATCTTTCAATGTGTTCTGATAGATCACTGACAGGAATTGGAGGATGGGACATCATTGCTATAATCAACATACATTCAGAATTGAGTGTGAGGTAGAAACGGATAGCTTCAAAGAATGAGGATGGTTAAAAAATAGGCAATTTGATTCTTTTAAAATGAGAATTCTTTCTTCTATTTTAAATCTTAGTCTGACATAAAATTATTCACTGTAATTAATTATTCATGATATATATAATGACGTTATAAAAACATGGAACAATTTAAAAAAAAGAAAGTAGGAAGGTGCTTTGTGTAAAGAATTCTACACATCAGTCAAAAGGTCATTCATTGTAAAAATAGTGTTTTCACTGTAACATTTACACAATTTTATGATTTAGACAGTGCTGTGAAATCAATGTGAAATGAAAGCTGTTTTCAAACAATATTTATGGGAATTTCACCAAACACAATGAATGGTATTCCTACCTGGAGTCTGGAAATTTCTTCTTCTCATCTCAACAGGATCAGATGGATGAAGCGGTACTTCTACTTTTGTTTTTGGCGTAGGGTGGCGACGTTTCCTACAATTAAAAAATCATTGACTTACCAAATTAACAGAGCTTTGACAAGAAAGTTTGATGTAAAACCCATGCAATTGAAAAGTTCCAAATACTGTAATTTCTCTATTTGTGGTGAATCAGGGATGGAAAGGAATGCAATATGCAAATCAGTGTATATTTCAGAAAAGAATAATTCATATCATCGAGGCTTTAAAACATTCAAAATGATAGCAATTATAGAAATAAACATGACATCAGTGTCAGTTTTAGAAAAATTCAGTTACTGCATTTAGTACATGCGTTACTAATAAAGAAAATACAGTATTAGGTGTACAAACAAAAATGTGCATTGGAACTGACTGGCTAATATTCACTGCAAATCAGAGGTCATTTATGCTAATAAAAGTATTATTGTTGTCAACTGATTTTTTTTTTAATTTGTTAGTTTGCATTAATGCCTGTATGTAGTAGAAACATAGCAATGTTCTGCCCAAACCAAGCTTGAAGACAGGGGCTTTAAATTAAATATTTGAGTTCTGTACATTTGTTTCAGTGCAAAGTAGAATGTTGTTATCGTACTAATAAAGTAAGATCAGTTTTACTGAAGTATCTGACGCAGCATTTTAGGGAAATCTACATGGGTTAACAAAACCATCACAAATGAAACCTGCCATGTATAGCTATTAAAACTTGGATTGTGTAAAAACAATTCTGAAGAGGAAGTTGAACTGACATGGAAATAGGGTTGTGCACAATAAACAATATCTATGTTTCTACTGGTTTTGTCAAGAGGAAGCAAACGTAAGATCTAAGCTGTAGTTTAAAATACCTGGTAGACCTGCCTGGGTCTCTACTGTTATTTGTGGTGGTGATAACAGTGTGGTTAGCAGTTGGAAAACTTAATCCAAAGCAATGGATAAAGACAATATAAGTTTGCAATAACAGACACAACAACGCACAATGATTAAGCTCCAGTCAATGTCAACCTCGACCCCTCCCACCTCGGGCGATATGGGACAAATGTGGGGCATTAGACAGGGTTTACCGGCAAACTGTGCCCTTGGAGGTGGGGTAAAAGCCGTGTTTCGTGTCCCGTCATCGCTAGCATCGCCAGTACTCTGCTGATAGCAAGCATGGTCGACAGTGGCGATTGGTGGAAGAAATGTAGGGGGGGGGGGATGTTTTGGGTGGGGATTTGCCTATTCATCTTGCCCCAGGAGGTGGGGCATTTTGCAAATTTTACAACAATAATTTCCAAATCCCCCACTAAACCCTGAGGTGAGGAGGGTGGGGGTTTGACATTGATTGACTGGAGCTTTAAGGTACTAAGAATTAATATTTTACAGTATTCATGGTGCTCATATTTTATTCACAGTTCAGTCTATCTTCAGCAGTATATCACCTCGATTAAAAAGGCAATTTTGGATAGAGAAATGTATGTTTCTGGGTGCAGGAACGTGAGAAACAATTTCCAAAAGACATAGAAACTTAAAGCTCAGTTTATTTCAATTGCTGAACTTATTTTGCCCAACCAAATTATAATTGCAGTTTGAATTCTGCTGAAGCTCACATTTCATAATTGCAAACTATATTACTGTAATGTATCAATCCTTGCTACCAAAGTACAAGTACATATAGTAACAATTGTTTAGGTTTGTCAAACAAAAGCAGCATAATATGCTAACACTAGGTGGCGCTGTGCCATTCATGGGAAAGGACCATTTTTTTTACATAAAAGATGTGGTGGTTGCTATAACGTGCTTTTCTACCGTATTCGACCGCGTTAGCGCCCATGCCTGGGCAAGCGCCCACCCCCCACTTTTGCACAATTTTTATATTTGGGGTCACATTCGGCAAAGCGCCCACCCCTTCAAAATGCAACTAATTTAAAACTTGGTCTTGCGTAACGAATCTTGGTAATCGTTTTTATAATATGATACAGCGTGGATATCGGCCGCTGTGAATATATATTGTGAATGCGTAGAACACGGTAACCGTGCGTAAACTACGCTTCGACAATGACCTGTTAATACAAGTAAAATGCGGTATATATTTCATGCCATATTTAGTTTACCTCTCAAAAATAGCTAGTTACTAGTTTTTTTGGAAAAACCGTGTCGTCTATTTGATGAAATCAATTCCAACAGATCGTACTTCGGCATCGATAATTCACTTCCGCATTGCGTTACCGGAAAGTCTTCGTGAATTTCCGAAGAATTGCGTCAGTACAACACAGCATTCTGATTGGTTAATAACCAACTTGACACATTAGGTCAAAGGACGCTGCTGCAGGTCAAATCATGGCGGAAAGTGATTTTCATCAAGAGTTTGCGTACGATCCAACACCTTCGTCAGTGGAGATAATATGACAATTTGACTTCGACTGTGTTCCAACAGACTCAAATGTTATTAATTTTGTAAATTTGGTGGTACGTAATTAATATTGTAATAAAATGTGCATATTTTTTGTGATCATTTCTGTTTCTTCATTATGAAAATCAATGACGACTCAACTAATTTCGTAGTTTGATTTTCCCTCAACGACGTAATCTGCCACTTGATGAATACAAATTTTCATTTGCACTCTTTTTCGAGGGGGGTGCTCGGGTAAGCGCCCACCCCTACAAAATCGTGATTTTCTGAGTTGAGGCCCCTGGGCGCTAACGCGGTCGAGTACTGTATATATATATTTTTGTTGGTTAACTGTACTTAATTTGTTTTTCTTGAATAAAAAAACTGTTTTTGTTGACACAAATATCAAGAATCATAATTTAAGTGTTTACATTACCCAGTTTTGTTACCCAGTTCTGTAAAATCTCAAATGTAGCAAGAAAAAGTTTTGGGTTGGGCAGTCAGGTTATACGAACCACACATTTTTTTCTCTTGGTCTAACAGAAGTTATGAAACAACCAACATTGTAGATTTCAATTTTATGTTAAAGTGTGCTGGTATTATTCACATGCAGTTAGCAGTCAAAGCAAAAAAAATAAAAAATAAAAAAATATTTTTGTGAAAACAAAACATCTGACAAAAATGAATGAATCAATCAGATGAATGAAAAACAAACAAACAAACAAACAAACAAACAAACAAACAAATAAATAAATAAATAAATAAACGTAATTGTGCTAGGTCTGGGTAGTGCCATACTATTTAAACTCACACTAAGTATAAATACTATGGCAGATTGGATAAAAGACAGGAAACATTAAAAAAATATCTTGTTGGGAGACTTTTAAAAAAACGTTTTCTGATGTGCAGAAATCAGCTGAGATTAAATGACAACATCGCCACCAAGTCATCATAACAAGACATTTCTTTGATGTGTCCAGTGAAAGATTGTCTACCCAACAACAGTTACATATTACATTCAGTGAAGCTTACCTTCTGATTACAACAAAGATGATGATAACAATGATTGCTATGACAACCACAGCTGCTACTAGTGCAATAATCCACAAGAAACCACCCTCTTGTGGAGCAGCACTAGGTAACAACTCTGCAACGTTATCTGATTGTGGTCTAACAGGATCGGAAAATTCACTACTTGTGAACATTTCATTCATCTCCTCCATGACACACGCCGATGCGAAAAAAACATAATTCTGTCCTTCAATCAGTTCTTTGTTATTAAACCCATTGATGGTTCGTCCATCACCGATGACAAAAGTGTTTTCTTCATTGGGTTTCATTTCAGAGGCAAAAATTTTCATTGCAATGTATGCTTGTAGAGGCGTTGAATCTATATCCCGTTTCTTATGTAAAAGTGTCATGATGACATTTCGTTTACGTCTGTTAATGCTATTGTCATAGAGCGCATTGAGATATTGCTTAGGAGTCATTGTAGTTACAGCATTTCCAGCACTGTCTAAATCTACAGGTACCACAACCACAAGATAAAAACTGAAACACGAAACATGAAACGAACAACATTAATCGTATGCAGTGATTATCAATTGATGAACAGAATTATAATATAGGAGCTCAGTTTATTGAAATACATAATTTCTTTTACTATCTGAAATCATAGTTGCTCTACATGTTTATGTGAAACCATGTTAAAATCATTGAACAGACACTAGTTTACAATTTTCTGTT